CTTCATTTGAGTTATGTTTTAAAATTGGACAATCCTAAATAAATTCTTTTATGACAAAAAAAGTAGAAACATAACACAAAACTGATTATCCCTGACATGGTAATTTTCATATAAATGAAATTCATTCCAATCACTTTATCTTGATTTTTATAAATAGAAAATAGACAAAGGGGTGAGGTAAAAAAAAATTGTGAAGGAACAACTGTAACCTCCTTGTTTGTTCTGAGGAAAGAACATGATAATTCATGATACTTTCACACACATAAAAACATCCAAGCAAGCCATAAGTCAAAGTCAGAATGTCATCTAAAATAAAGACATTTAGGAACTGTTTATTAAATTACTCAGCTACTTTTCTGTTTCTTAATAATGATGAATGTGCTGCTTCATGGATTACCATGAACTTCCAAGACTGGGTACTGTCTAACTATTTTCGCTACTAACCTGGGATTATAGTATAAATGTTAAATTGAAACTTTACCGCATTCCTGAACCCACATAGCAAAACACACTGCAAGTATTCTTCTAGGTATCTAAATTAAAAGGATTCACTCTACTACTCCACTGCAAGCAATTTATAAGAACAGGAGCAAAGTAACATACAAAATAATTAACAACACAGACAATACAAATTATAATTATGATATTCTTACACAGAAAATAATAGCTGAGTATTTTCTAATAATGTATATATTTTAATTTAAATGTAGTCAATTTTACACTTCCAATTAATAGACACTTTCTCTGTCAGGACTATTCATTCTTTAGTCATATCAATTCCAGGGGGAAAATTCCAAATGATCCAGTAAATGCAGGCATGGCATCCATTACAATTAAACAGCCAGTGTATGTAAACCTCACAACTTGTTTTTATATCACAATGACAGCATGCAGTAATGAACTTTCTGTCCAGAAAGCCTTTGTAAGACCTGGAAAGGGAAAGAAATATCTACTCCCAAATACTAATTACTCAGATGCTTAATAGTCAACCTCTTCAAAAATCTGGAGATCAGCCAAAAAGCATCATAAATGGTTTGACTTTGTACCAGAACACTATTTATCGGCATTCTTAATTTCTATCTGTGCAGACAGACTGTGCTTAGTACTTAGCAATGAAATAACTAAATATAACACCAGTGCTAATTAGATCATACATCAGCATTTGAGAATTTTGATTGTAACCTAGAAGTCTTTATTAAATTCAGCTAAGGAACATCAACCGCATCTGCTACAGCCGTCACGGAACTGAAGGTGGTCGTGTTCACAGGGGATGACTCAGAGCCTCAATACGTTAGTGGCTACACGTGTCACTTCTGAAACGTGACTCTTCAGTAGTGCAGCCAAATAACTTGTAGTTGTAGATCTACTTCTACCTAAACTAATATCCATTGGCTTATCTATACAGTAAAGAAGTACAGTTACTTATCTTGAAGTGAGGATAAAAGGTCTTGACCAACCGTACTGTTTAGGGAAACAAAGTGTTCCTGACAGCAGATGGAAAGACGGATGCTGAGTCCCTCTGTACGGGGTCTGCATGCAAGGGCACAGCTACAACATCAGGTGCTTCATGCTCTGTCTTTGTCTCTCTCCCCTTTACCCTTCCAAACTTCATTCTAAAAGTTTTACATGTTTTTCATGCAGAAACATTTGCCATTTTGTCAAGCTCATTGTCATTACTTATGAAGAAGCTGACATTTCTCATCGCTAGGCTGAAATGACTTAAGACAATGAACTAATTAAGAAAAAAGTTTTAGCTTAAATACCGAGAACAAAAGCAACACAAAAGCAACCTCTCTCCTCCTTCCCACATTGGGCATTGCTGTTCTATGCTACCAAAATGAACAGAAACATCAGGGACAAAAACTCATCTTGCTGAAAGAAATAAAAAACCAGTGACCTCGAGGGGGAAAACAGTTTTACCTCAAATATACATGTGCAATGCTAATATCCACAAAGTCATCTGTTCTTATATAATAAAAATCACAGTGCTTCCACATAAAACCTGTAACTAAAATGTCACCTATGACTGATCTCAGATTTGTGTTTTTTTTTTTAACACATGCATATTTGAAGGTTGCTCATTCAACTTGGCAATAGCAGTAATTACCAGTGGAAGTTCAGAAGTTTGGCCAATATAGCAAAGAGAAACGGAATACGTTTCAGAAATTTTAGTAAATTATTCTGGCTTCATTTTCATCTTACAAGGTCAGTAATGTTACAGTTGTTTCGATAGCCAAAATAAAGATTAAGAACAAACTGTGAATCTATTTAAATCAAATTATAATTATTTTTCAGTTTTCTAGGATAATTTTCAAGACTTCATTATATCAGTTGATGATATATACCCCAAACCAGATAAAGCAAGTCTTTAATATAGTTAAAGTTTTACTTACATAAACTTGTTAAAAAAAAGAATGATTTAAACTCATACATTTACATTGTTTGAACTTTAACGAGCAGAACAGATATAATTTGTGGCGTTAAAATTATTCAGGGATGATAAAAGCTAAAATATGTCCTTGCCGAATGGTGAACATGAGATTTCCACTGACTATGTATGCCTTGTTTCCCACAATCAAACTGACACAGCATGAAAACATTCTCCTGCGTGTGGAGGTTTTGATACCCATTTCCCTGGTGAAAGCGTGCAAAAGGATCTGAAAGAGTTATTGACAATTCATACAGTATCCCATATTTCATTAGACAGTACAAGCAGAGAACATATCTTAACTCTGAAGGGAGATGAAGCAACAATGTTTTAAATGACTATTGACTCCACTAAATTTCCTGATAATGTCAGAAGACTGTAGTCTGTCAGGTTCATAAGAGACTCAAGATGATACAGGAATCCAATTATGTGAAGTCTATTTAGTTGTCCTGTTTGCTAAGCCAAAGGTTAACGAGAACTGCACTGAAAAAACCTCCTGTGGTATTACAAAGTATTTCTTATGCTGCATAACATGTAAATGAAAAAGTATTTTAATCAAGTCTTTGTTTAACTCTTTGATTGCAACGGAGCACTACACAATACAGCAAATTAAAAACTCATGACGGCAAAAGTGATTTTAAAAATTTGCCCCTGAACTAAAGACATCATGACTAATTACTAAAGTAATTATTACTGAATATTTCTAATTTGCAAAGGAGAAAATGTTCAGATCACAGAATCACAGATAGTCATTGCTGACATTAAATCTTTATAAATAGTAAGCTATGGCCTCCAATTTTAGACAGAAATTAATTATATTTTTGTTGGTAACACATTCAAATCTGTTTACACAGCTGACAAGTCTCAGCTGCACCAGACTCGAGCAGTGAGCTTTGAGGACTCTCCTGCTTTGGAGCAGATGACTCAACATTCACCAATTTCATTAAAGATGAAAAGGGGAAAAATTCACCTGCAACAATGTCACTTGTAAAAACAGACTTAAAACAGATTTATGAGTTTTACATATGTGAGGTATCCTATTCAAAAGAAAGCGGAGAAAAAAGAAATACGGGAAAACCTAACAGCTGTGGGAAAACGGATTAGCAGTGTTGAGTTTCCAGTTCCTTTTTGGGCTAATGTAAACTAATAAAATGTTAAAATGGATCCACATTTCAAAGACTGTAATTACCACATGACACCATGCTGTTATTTCAGATCTTACATCTATCGTCTCAGATATGCCCTTGAATACATGGACATAGATTTACCCACTTCTCTCAAACTTAACTACTGTTTCTGCAAACACTACCACAGACATATTTTACAAGTATATTAGAAATTCAGACAGTCGTTGCTTTTTTTTTTTTTTTTGATTGGCATAAATCCTCTATCCAGAGTTAAGAAAAAAGCAGCAGACTTATCATGCAAACAGCAGTTCTCCCTTTACAAGAAGAGAGTAGAAATGGACAGGAAAGTAATGCATTGAACATAATGCCAACACGTAGAGAAAGTAAATCCCAATTCCATTCTCACTTTGTAGAATACTCAGGTTCAACCTCTAGTTTAAATGAATGATTTTTATAGAAATACTTCCCCCCTCCCCTCCATTTTTCTCAGGTCACAAAATCTATATACAACATAACTACAGAATTATTTCAGCCTTTTAGGCATATTTTTTGTTTTGTTTGGGTTTTGTTGTTTTGTTTGTTGTTTTTTTTTTTTTTTTAATAAAAGCAGACCTCACTAGCTGGCATTGGGAACATACTAACATAAGAAAATTGTCATAGTGAGACTGAAAGACATAAAATACACTGTAGGGATAACCACGCAAGGAAGCAAGTCTAATATTTAATGAAATTCTGCAGTTAAGCCCCACAATTTCATGAATTTGTAGGCAATGCACAGTTAGCTGACTCTGTCACTGAGGGTTCCTATTGATCTCAGCTAAGATTTCCTTTCATTTCTAAATAATGGTAATTCTAAAACCTGCAACATACATTTAAAAATTGAATACATATTGTACTGTATAGGTATTATTTACGATTTCAAAATGTAATCTTGCAAATGTACATAAATTCTTACTAGTCCAACAAGAATCAAAGTAGATACTTTAAAAGCAAGTAAAACTCTCCACTGCTTTCAACAGGAACACCTCCTGCTTAAAGCCAGACACAGGCTTAAGCGTACCGGTGAACTAATGTACACTACTGAGTAAAATATCTCAATGTGCACTCAGAGTACATGTTAAAAATGGGACTCTCTTTCTCAAGTCCAATACTGCAATAGACTTCAACTTGCCAAATGTTGTGCAGTTTTGCTTCAGTCTAGGAACATGTTTCCTTCTCGTTTTAAATACGCACTGAATTTGATACACATGAATAATTTCCATGGAAATGTGCTTCAGTAATCCAGTACTTTAGTATTTCTGTCTTTCGAGATAAAGCTCTGGAATATGTGTAATGTTAAGTTACTGCATATGGGACAGCAAAAGCTATTGGGTGATTCTGATCAAAAATCCAAGTAAAATCAGCTATTTGTACGAAGAAATGAAACGAGAACCAAAGCTACTTACTGAGTCATCTGTGGCAGAAGGAGGCCAGCCTTCCCATAACTGGTGACGGACAGGGATACTAGTCAGGTCATACACATTCCGCTTTACCTGGTAAAAAAATATAAATTGAAAAAATCAGAACTTGCTCTAACAAAAGCAATACAGGAAAATTGCATTATTTTCATCGTAATCCCAAGCTTTTTATTTTGATTTTTTCTAATTATTGTAAAACAAGTTTCTCCAATACTCAAAGGTTCAGATCTGTTCCATGGGTTTACACACAGTATTGCCAAAAGCAACTAAAGAAACTACGTTAAAGGAAAAAAAATTAAAGTCTGTAAATTATCATTCATAACAATTCATTATTACTTCAGCATCATGCACGTATAAAACAATTCATAACACAAATTTTCACAGTAAAAAGTATTACAAAGTAATGAACAAACTGAAGGGAAGTAGAAGGTAATAACAAATTCTGTTATAGGTTTTGCTAGTTAATGTATTCTATTTCACCTGAACATGTTAGGTTCATGCTACATCTAACACAATAAGAAATACAACTAGTTTTGCGTAAGTTTCTTAAAGGGGATTCAAAACCGAAAGTGAGTATATTAAACACGAAAATATGAATTAATAAGCACATTTCCAAAGAAGACAATACATTTCAAACATTTATTAACAAAACGCAAATAAACTAATTTTTACATCAACTCTTTTCTCATGCTATGGAAGGAAGAGGGAAAAGAAGAAAGAGTCAAAAAAAATCGAATACAGCAAGAATACTGCAAAATACAAGAGTTACAAAACTCTTTCCACAAAAACATTAACAAGATAAGAAAGCTGGCATGTTTCATCAGCGGTTTTGTGATAAGCAATTATTTAAATCAGAAAAAGATGTATTTTTGAACTTGGGATAGAGAGTAGTATCTCAAATTCTGAATAATATCTTATACCTGAATGTAAAGACTGCACAAGCAACTGGCAGATGTAAATATTGCCCAGCTGGACCAGAACTGTGAACAATAAAACACTTACAGCAAGCAACGTTGGGTTTGGGGTTGATTTCCATAAAATTGCTGCATGGGAATACAAGGTCCTCCCATATCTTCACAGGTCTACTTTAATTTCCAAATACAGATCTCAACAAACTGTATTAAATCCAGAAAAACATTCCCAACTACATAAAAGTAAGGTTTGATGCATTTTACTAAAATTTTAGATGACCGTTGGCTGAGGAAGTCAGAAGTTCTGTGTCCTGTTCCCAGCTCCAAGAGCGCTGTACAGTTTACCACTGACAGACACAATAACCAAGTGTTCGACACAATAAACCAAAAGCCATTAAGGCAGATGGGTCAGAGTTGACTTAAAGCAAATGCCAAGACTACTCCAAAACCTGTCCTCTGATGCCTTCTTTAGCTTTTCATTTGTCTCTTGTCAACTAGAAAGAACTAACAATTAACTGTATTCTAACTTCTGCTATGAGTATTACTAATAATTCTGTGAACTGAAAAGAATTATATACAGTTGTCAGTAGAAAAGATCTTTAAACTAGCACCTTGCTTGCAGTTTAGCACACTTACCCTAAGTTAACAACTTTCTCTGAACAGAAAAATGGTTTAAAAAAAATATCAGGAAGAGAGTTGAAATTTGTCAAAATGAGAAATACTAACATAACCCATATATTTAAAGGTTTCATGTTCAAGAAAGGAATGAAAGATGATTCTAAACTACCATTCTTAGGGTGATAATGCAATAAAACAAAGCGATCCACTGTACAGACATTTTATAAAATTTGACTCTACCTATTAATCAGTATTTGCCATAGCTTTATCACTGAAGCACAGTTGAGACTTGAATAGATGGTAATACAGTAATAAAAACATATGGAATGTGCATACATTCCCTCAAAATTTGTCATCTATTTTTAGTACAGAATGCATATGCAACATCTGACAGCAGACATTCATCTAAAAATGTGTTTGCATAGTGAAATAGCACCAAAACTCTTCTCTTGATCATCTTTAGAGAGAAATGCTGCTTGGACCCTTTCTTTCAAATTTTTCGCATAGTTCAAGCACATGAATACATGGATGAAGGATACACGTGCAGACATTTACTGGTAAAAGAACTGTTCTAATCCTTGGAAATATCCTAAGGAGGGTAAGGGAGTAGGCAGGGATTTCCACACATACGCCTGCTCACAAGTGTTGATTTGGGCAATGTTCTTCAAAAGACTCTTCATGGCACTGCTGCATGAGTTTGCCAACAAATAAATATGACTGAGAAAGTTCAGGGCCTACATAGAGCAAAGTACAGTGCTATTACTGTATTTCCAGTTCTCAGATCCTCCATTCAATTAGTGTTGCTCATTCTCACTACTTCTGGTAGTAGTAGTGGTAGTAGTATTTCATACCAATAAAGTGCCCCTTAGTAAAACCTGTGAAGAACTGACTCACATTTCTGGATAGACTTAATATATAGGCTATGCAGATAACAACTTCCATACTATCAGTTTAAAGGTTCATAAATATAAATATTCTGCACAGATGAGTGGAAAACAATGGCTTCAATTTATTATCTAACAGCAAGATTCATTACTTCCAACTCTGGAGTCCACCTCTCACTAAAGGAGGAAAGTCAGACCACGTGCTTCCTCATATTTAAGCATGTCATTGTGCTTTTAAAAAATATAAATATACTTTAATTATTAAAAACTTATTTAAATACATTTCAAATACACATATATGTGGTATATACATTATATACATGCGTATGCATACGTATACACAGACCTGTGAAAAACAGAATTATGGAAGACTGAACTCTATAGAACTTGGTATATGATCTCATTCCTACGGTTCAAAACAAACAGCCTTTCTTCACTGCTTCTTAACAAGAAGGTAGCCTGCTGTGCAGTATTTGTTTCGCCGTAGCATCAAGGTAAAGAGATGTCATTACTCTGTACTGACCCCACAACAGCCCATCAAAATGCAAAAATACTGATCTATGATCACAAGAATACGATTCTTGCTATTTTAGTTTTCTTGCATTAAATACCAAGATAAACTGTCCCTGTGAGATAACTCTTCTCCAGTTACACATCAAAAAGTCTTATTGATATTATTTTCACAATATAAGGCTCTAAAATGAGCTATTTTCAAATAACAAGTGAAACTTATTTACAGAAACGTGGGATCAATACAACTACATAACACTGTTTTCAAAAAGCCTTCAGAAGTAAAAATAAATAACTCAGAAGTCACATTCCTCAAATTCCCTTTTAATTCCAAAGTACAACAGAAAGGCATTATGAAAAAAACAGTATTTCCCTTCTTTCATTAACTCATCTGTAACTGCTCTGAATTCAATAACATTCCTCTGCTATTCTAAGCTTGAAAGGCATGCTCGGGGTAAAGTGTTATGTTGGTATAAAGCACAATGCCAGACTGATGTGCTGGACAAAAGTGATCAAAGTTGAAGTAATTTTAGCCAACGCACAAGTATTCTGCTGCATTATTCTACCAGAATGACATCTGTTGAGCAACTCGTCGCAGAATAAACTAGTTGTTATAGACAGGCCCGGTTGGGTAGAGGACCATGTAAGACTTATTAGAGTAATGTTTGATTAAACAAACTGCTTGAGTTAAGATCATAACTGGATTTGGAATTCATGCCAGAGTAGTCCCCTTTGAAACAACAAGCCACAATCAATTATTTAAGATAAAATAAGCTTGCTTTTAAATAACGATTTAATTTCAGGTTTGTTTGATAACTAGAATAGTATTAAGAAAGCAGACCGCCAAAAGTTTTAGAGACTAGGAATATTTACCAATCAAGTACAGAAAACCCTTTTCTTCATCAACTGACTTAATTTCAGTTTAAAGTTAAAAATTCTGTAAGGAGGGAAAAGTTCTAAGGGTTCATACAAAGCAGAACCATTAACTGCCTCTCCGCTGGCCGGTGAAATAACCTACGGCTCTACTCTTCAGGCAACTGAAAAAACTCAGCGTAGTAAATGGATGAAGTCTGGTTTAAGGTTTTTATTTATAAATTCACATGAAAGTGACAGGAGGACTGAAATCTTTATAAATTTGTGTAACTTAACTTCTAGTGCCATCCACTGAGCTACATTTATTGGCAAACTTTTTGGTCCCCCACCTTTGATCAGTTTGAAATACTAATTGGTGGCATTCTCTTTGCACAGCCCAGAATTTCTTTTCATAATGTTCAGACGCCATGGTGACTGGCACATTACTATGGCAGCCACCCTTCAGATTATAATCTCCAGAATATACGAGATCATTTAAAAACAAATTAAAGGCACATCTATTTGGTTCCACAACTCAGCTGTGAACAGTATCAATACAATCATTTAAACAAAACAAAACAAAAAAATCCAAATCCCCCATATATTCCAGATGCAATTTTACTTGGAAAAATATGTATGATTCCTGCAGAATGCCCTGCCTTGCAGCTATACACTGATGCTGGAGAAGCACATGAAGTTACACCTTCAGCTCATTTTCACTGGTGTTAGCAGGAAATTAAAATATTAAATAACTTTGAGTATTTTAAGAAAACCCGTATGTCAAAGTAGCCAACACACTGAGAAAACTTCCCAGATATAGGCAGTCTTACTTTCTTATCTTTCACTAGTTTTTTAAGCAGATGAGTATGTTTAATAGGAAATTTAAACACAAAAGATACACTTTGTTTGTAGATATGAAGCTAATCCAACATTCAAAGCCCTTCCACATCCATATTAGTAAGGATAAAATGAAGTAAAACGTATCACAGAGCAAGGAGCCTGTACCAGGTAATGCGATGATGATGCCCCTCTGGTGGTTTCACTTGCCAGGAATAAGTAGCTATTCTCGTATTTCCGAATTAGAAAAAATCTGAAATCTACTGTCCAAAAAAAAAAAAAAATCTAACACCTACCAAATTGTTAAAAAAATTAAATATTATGCTGAATCATCAAAGAACTGGCGTGCCTGAATCTGTATCTTTGAATCACAACAAATCACAACAAAGTTTAACAGTAGTTTCCCTCAGGCTGTTTTCCGCTTACGCAGGTACAAAGTTAATTGAAATAATGTAGATAATGA